TTGTTGAAGTTGGAGAGAATACTTGCTTACATTTTAGATTACCGGCACCTCTTTCAGACACGTTATCGTGGAAGAGAACTGAGAATTGAATAAAAACATGTTTTTGTTTTAGTTTGTAGAACTGTATCTTTTATACTTGAAGTTAAGGTGAAATTTTAAAGTTACAAGCCCTAAACTAAAGTCTCCGCACTGTATATTTATCTTTAATATACTTTCCCTCCAGTTTACAATTGTACATCTGTGACATTATGTACTGTGTGGGCTCCTTGCTTATAATGTCATCTGCTTCCTCTAACAGCTTTTGTGCTCAATCTGGTGATTTTTGCTCTGACGTTAACCGTAGGTTTCCTTAGTTACCAACACTCTTGTCTGATTCATATAAACGTTCAGTGACTTTCCTTTTTTTAACGGTGTTTTCTCTTTTAACATCCACCATGGATTTCACTGATGTGTGATGGAAACTCCAGCATTTTCTGTCTCATCCCGCTGCAGAAGCCAGCATAAGTTCAATTATAAAGTAAAGATTGTCTGGCCTTGTTATATTCTTGGTTGATTAGAAGAAATTAAAATTATGGGTCAGATGTATTAGAAAAGAAATACACAGCATTTGTTTTCAAACTGAATAACAAGCAAGTGTGTTTATACTGTGTACTGATTATGCTACAGTGGATATAAAAAGTCTAAACACCCTTATTGAAATTGCAGGTTTATGTAAAGCCAGAAAACAAGATAAATCATGTCAGACATTTTTCCATCTTTAATGTGACCATGCAAACAACAAAATTCAAGAGAAAAACAAATAGATAATTATTAAGAAAAATAATTTAAATTAAAAAACCTACAACTCCATGGTTGCATAAGTGTGCAACCCCCCCAAACTAATACTTTGTGGAAGCACCTTTTGCATTTATTACAGCAGTAGGTCTTTGTGAATAAGTCTCTATAAACTTTTCACCTGGACTTTGCAATTTTATCCCACTCTTCCTTGCAAAAAAGTTCAAGCTCCTCCATATTGCCAGGGGATCTCCTGTGCACAGCCCTCTTTAGGTCTTTCCACAGGTTTTCTATGGGATTGAGGTCTGGACTCTGACTGGGCCATTCCAAGACTATGATCTTCCTTTTCTGAAGCCATTCCTTGGTTGACTTGGATGTGTGCTTTGGGTCGTTATCATGTTGGAAGGTGAAATTCCATTTCATCTTTAGCTTTCTGACAGAGGCCAGCAGGTTTTGTGCCAAAATATCTTGATATTTGGAGCTAGTCATTATCCCATCTATCTTGACTAGACCCCCTGTCCCAGCTGAACAGAAGCAGCCTCAAAGCATGACGCTGCCACCACCATGCTTCACAGTAGGTATGGTGTTCTTTGGATGATGAGCGGTGTTGTCTTTGCACCAAACATGTCTTTTAGAATTGAGGCCAAAAAGTTCACCCTTTGTCTCATCAGACCATAAGACATTTTTCCACGTTTAAGGGTGATTGAATGTATTTTTTTGCAAAATTTAGACGGGTTTGGATGTTCTTTTTTGTGAGAAATGGCTTCCGTCTTGCCACCCTACCCCATAGCCCAGACATGTGTAGAATACGGGAGATTGTTGTCACATGCAAGGCGTGACCAGTACCTGCCAGAAATTCCTACAGCTCCTTTAATAATAATAATAATAATTGCTTACACTTATATAGCACTTTTCTGGACACTCCACTCAAAGCGCTTTACAGGTAATGGGGATCCCCTCCACCACCGCCAATGTGAAGCCCCACCTGGATGATGATTTATGTTGTGTAGGCCTCTTGGTAGCCTCCCTGATAGGTTTTCTCCTTGTCCTGTCATCAGCTTTGGAGGGTTGTCCTGATCTTGTCAATGTCCCTGTGGTGTCACATTTTCTCCACTTATTGATGATAGTCTTCACAGTGCTCCATGGTACATCCAATGCCTTTGATATTCTTTTATAGCCCTCTCCTGATCGGTACCTTTCACAATAAGATCCCGTAGATGTTTTGTCAGCTCCTTGCGGACCATGGCCATCCCGGTAGGATGCAACCACGAAAGTTTAAAGGAAATCCTACAGGAATCGTTGATTTTTATTTGGGGTTAATCAGAATCACTTTCATTGATGGCAGGTGTATGCTACTTACGTTTGGACATGATTTTGAATGTGATTGGTTAACTCTGAACACAGCTACAGCCCCCATTATAAAAGGGTGTGCACATTTATGCAACCAGGGTGTTGTAGGTTTCTTAATTTAAATTATTTTTCCTAATAATCATCTATTTGTTTTTCTCTTGAATTTTGTTGTTTGCAAGGTCACATTAAAGATGGAAAAATGTCTGACATGATTTATCTTGATTTCTGACTTTACACAACAAAAACCTGCAATTTCAACAAGGGTGTGTAGACTTTTTATATCCACTGTATATGTGTATGTACAAGGACCTGAAGAATTTATCAATTTAAGTGAATCAATTAATTGAACCTGTTGTGATAGGGATCCGTTTCCATTTTTCAGGTTTTCAAAGTTGGCCAGAATATCATTGTCAAGAAATAACTGCATTTCAACCAGTTCCAGTCGAGATATATGTTGGGATTATGAGATCACATGATCATGTGATCAATGAATGCCATTTATTAAGTCATTTTTGCACTGGGTTTTGACTTATTTAGAGACATGGAGGAAGCAGTTGGCTACTCAATGATTGTGTTGCTTATTTCAGTGTTGGGAGTATACTTCATATTTTTGGTCTCTGACCATTATGTGTGGCACGTGATACACTTTGTACTATAATAAACCAAGAGAAATGAATTCTGAGAAATAAAATGATTAATATTTGGCTATATTAGAACTTTTGGAGACAGTGTGAAGTGACATGATGTAATAAATGTATTATTCATACTGACCAACGTATGGCATTATAGTGTATTGTATGAATGTGGCATTTCACGCTGAAACTAGATTAGTACTGAGAGACAGTGTAGGGAAAGATCCCAACGTTATGACCTGAACTACTAAATATTCCTCCTTCCCTTGAGTACTTTACAGATACCAGCCACACAATGTTTCTGAAAACATAATAAGAACTTGTAAGTTTTGTTTGTAAAAACATATTGTAAACTAAAGCAGGTAACAATTTTGGTCGTTGTGAATAGAAAATAGAAATATCTTTGCAAACCAGCAATAATTAAGTCCCGCTTTATTTTTGTTTAAAAAGGCGCTGCTTTTGTAGTACACCTCTGGTTTATGGTTGAAATTGTTGGTGAAGCTTGAGAGAGTGCTCAGTCTGACAGCGTCTCACGATTTCCCTCATTAAAATAAAACTTTGACCCATTTAAAAGAGTTTCCTTCGAGAGATTTTACTATGAAGAAGAAAGAACTAGTGCATAATCACCACTCTGATGCCTCTAGCTCTGAACATAAGGCGAGGGAAATACATTCTAAGATGTCTAACACATATGGTGGTTTATCAGTCCTGAAACACTTTGGAAAAGGTGTTTTGCCACCAGACATACTGTAGCAGAGTTGAAAAGGGGTGGAAACTGTAAGGTCGAGCTTTTGCACATTAACTCTTCTTCTCCTGTTCTCCTGAGGGGAGAAGAGAAAGGCTCCATGTCGAGACAACCAAGCTTTTATGGGATATTAAATATAAGGTACCTTAAAAAAGCATGAAATAGAAGCTGATTAAGAGGTTTTAGATCATGCATTTTTTAGGAACTGCATTTTTCAGAGAAATCCATTTACGTTTTATTTTAGTGTCTGGTCAAAGGGTTTTTTTTTGTGGAGTAAGAAAAATAGCATTGTGATGCCAGAGGGGGCAGAACGAGCCTCTGAAGTATGGAACTGTAAATGCTTGACCGGCAATCACTTTTCTTAGCTGTCACACATCAAAGGTGCTTTGCAGTTCATCGTTTGTCTTGCAATTAACATTGTTAGAGTGACTGAGTGTACATAAAAGCTTATTTTGTTGAGCCAAGGGTGTATGTTAAATATTTTTATTTGGTATAATTTAAAAAATAAAATTATGAAGAACTGTGTGACATTCCGAAGGTTCATTAAACATATTACCATAGTTTTGTTACTCCTGGTATGCGTACCACAGTTTGAGAGCCACTGCTTTATTGTATAGAAATAAAGGAATATAGAAATCTGTGAACTCGCGATTAAACTTCAGAGCTTTCTGCAGTTAGGAAGATAATGGATTTTAAGAATGTCAGTGACAAGAATTAAGAATATAGGAAGTTACACGTTGGTTATATACTGTAGCAGTCTAGTTATTTATCACTTCTACAATTGCAGCCGACTACAACACCAATATCATTATAAACCAGTGAAAACCCTCCAAAGAGTTTGACATTTATTTATGATTTTGTGTAGCTTCCTAAGTTATACAAATGTTTTTATTACTTTGTTTTTATCACATTGAAAGGCCACAACAGTATTTGGTTGGATCCAACTGGGAACAGCAAATACTTCTTTCAAAATGGTTATCATAGTCGAAAACATTAATCCTACCAAAAAAAAAAACACGCGTGTAAAGCTTTTAATCCAAAGCGACGAGATCTTTCAGTGATATTACGAGTGAGTTGCTCTCTGGTAAGTCAGCCTATTCTTGGTGACCTGAAAATGAATTTCCCCCTTCAGGCACCGCAAGCGTCACTACCTTCAATTAAAAAGCACGTCTCCGATTACTTCATTGACCAGGATGTTGACATATTTATTAGCTGAGCCTGTGCATTTCTGAAGACTCTCATGGCTTTTTTCTAATATGCCTCTCATGGCTGGCCTTGCTGATGAAGCCACGCTTGCAGGTGCCTCGGCTGAAACAGATGCCCAGGTTGCTAAGGAGGCGTTTTAGCTCAGTCAGGCAGAACCACAAGAACATCTAATTACTTTGCTCAGACAGAGAATGCAGGAAATAAAGAAGGAGCGCAAAGCTGCCTGAGCGCAGGGAATCCCAGCGCGCAAAGTGCCAGAAATGTCTGAAGACCTGCTCTCCGCATCCCCGCAGGTCCCCCAGGATGAATGGAGTGGCTTTGCACCCTCAGGTAAGGACGACGAGATCCCCTGCCGCCGGATGCGCAGCGGCAGCTACATAAAAGCCATGGGAGACGATGACAGTGGGGACTCGGACACCAGCCCGAAGCCCTCTCCGAAGATCCAGGCGCGGAGAGCGAGCTATCTCAAGGCCACCCAGCCGTCTCTGACCGAGCTGACCACTCTCAAGTAAGCCATTTCAGATGTTATACAGTTTCCAGCCGCTCCGTACGTGGCTTTGGAGACCTCCCGGTTCAAATGCCCACGAGAGGGATGGCACTATAGTCATACCTGTGTTTTGGGTTTGCCTTACATTATTGATCATTTAATATAGATTTGGGAGGAGCCCAAAATAAAGCACAGTGAGAAGTACCAAAAGCAAAAGTGTTCAGTCTTGATCTGTGCTCTGGCTGTTTAAAGATTTTGCTTTCTCATCTGGGTGTTTCCGGTCAGAAGCGTGCAGGGACAAGGAAGGGTGATGGTTTGTAAATCGTTGATAATACTTTCAAGTCTCTGGTTTAAGCCAAATGCTGCAAATGTTTCTGAATTTTATCTGTAAAGCTCTCCCCACTGCAGTGCTCTTTTACTGTATCTGCAATTGTGTACAAAAAGGTATGTGTTGAAAGGAATTTTTATAGCAATTTGCACACAACATTACACTTAAAGAAATTATATCTAAATACATATAATCTTTCATGTGTAAGTTACTGTACGTTTGCATTGAAAGCATAACGAACACAACTTCAGCGGTATAAAAGTATGCCGAGTATAAAAGGGCTCTGTAAGACAGGATTTAAAAGTGTTCATTGACAAGCAAGATCCAATATAGGCTGGGAGATCATTCTTTCGCCCTGTGACAACAGAAAGAGAAGCAGAGCCACCCAGGGTTCACAGCCTCATATTCGCAACTGAAGGAAGGCAGGAGGTGCAGAGGTGTGTAGGGAGTTCGCAGACAGGAGACAAACCATTCAAAGGCTAACAGGGGAGCAGCAGAGTTATTCATTTTATCCTGAACTGTTTGGACTGCAGATTGGGCAGCCGTGCTGAAGGGTTTCAGTACTTGGGGGGCTGGATATTTTGTAAGGTTTATTTTGGTTTGAAAATGTACAAGAACCCACACTTACAAGAAGCAACGTCCTTTGCATTCCTTAGCAGACTGCTCCTCAGACCTCAGTTCTGATGGGAACTGGACCATGTGGAATACGAGGCCCAACATTATACCATCCCAGTTCCTAATATTTTGGTCTAAGGTTTAGTGCACAACAGAAAATACCACTGCTGATTGCTTGGTACTGTGATATAGAATTATGTTTTAACCTTAGATTTTTACTTTTTTTTTCTTTATTTGGATTAAATGCTAATGATTCTGTTAAAGGAAGCCAGGCAACTGCATCTTTACACAACAAAATTACTTGAGCAAATTGAACATTTAGCAGGTGTGAAATCTGCTGCGTTTCTAAATCTAGCAAATTCAAAAGTGATCCCTTGTGACATTTTAATACAATACATATATTTATGTATATGAAATATGTTTGTTTAAAATATTTTAAGCTTATTAAGAGGCTAGCTCTTCCCACAGCACAATTCAAACGAAGCATATGTATTATTGTTTCTGTTTGTTGGTTTTTTATGACCATGTCTTTTGAATGTTTGCGTCTTATTTATTATATGATTCTTGTAATAAATGCACTGACATAATAGATAACCCTAGATTAAGCTTGGGCATCTGAAAGAGGCAGATTTTGGTGGGGTGTTCTTCCAGATTGCTGGAGTGACAGGTTTGCACTAAAAACCAGTGAGCCCTGTCCTGACTCCACTATATCCACTATTGTGAATATTAGGTTGTGCCTACTTAGTCAGTTGTACCTTTTATAGGAAGTACAGTCTGAACACCTAAATTGTGCTGTTTGTCATATACTATTCTTGAGCTACTGCATTTACGAAAAATGGAAAAGGATGATAACCCTTCACCATCAAGTAGGGTTCATTCATTACAAAAAAGTACAAAGTCACCTCAGTATGTCTTTCATACAGTTGTTGGGTTACCCCCGTATACCCCTTTGAATTGCGCATTGCATGCCTGGCATCCTTCCAAATTCCTTTTGTAACTTCTGAGGGGGCAGAGGTTTACCGGTGTGAGGTTAGCGGAAACCGGAAAAACAAAAAAAGGAAAACGAAAAGTGCATCGCTTGGAACAGCGGCGTCCGGGCAGGACTTTCCCAGTCTAATGGGGACCTGTCTGGATGAAAAGGAGCCAAAACAAAAAGAGAACTCAATCAGTCCCGGTGCAGATATTGTCCTGTGGCAGAGCTGTGGCTCTGTGGCTAGTGATCTGCGCCTGTGGCTGGAAGGTTGCTGCTTCGTATCCCGCGGCTGGCAGAGGAATCCTACTCCACTGGGCCCCTGAGCAAGGCCCCTAACCCCAACTGCTCCAGGGGCGCCGTATAAATGGCTGACCACCAGCTTCTCTCCCTGTCTGTGTGTCTCATGGAGAGCAAGCTGGGGTATGCGAAAAGACAAATTCCTAACGCAAGAAATTATATATGGCCAATAAAGTGATCTTATCTTATACATGGCAGGACAGGGGAGGGAAAAAAAGAAAATATTAAAAAGAAGCAAACTGGCGGCCTTATGCTCGCATCACAACCCCCTCCGGGACTGTCGCTGGAATATTCTCCCCTTGCGGGGCTGACCCGACTGGAGCCCTGCTTGCTCGTCCCTCCAGGGAGGTGCTGAGTGTGTCTTAAAGGGCCTCCACAGCTGTGGGTTGTCCTTAATTAGCCAGGACAGAGGTGGTTGCTAAGGCAATGCGTCACCCTTAATCCAGGGCTCCGCCTCCACACCAAACACGCCCCTGGATTATACCACAATATGATATATTCTTTCCATGTGTAATATTTCCTAATGCATTTGTGCTGTGCGGGTTTTAAACCAAGACCAGCACAAAGGTCCACTGTCATACTAGTAGAGAGTAATTGAGAAACCACTCACAGTGATAGTGAAGATGAGAGATGTTTCATTGCAACCAATAGTGTTTTTTAAAAAAGCTGTCTTTGTTTTTTTCTGTATTGCACAGTGAATCAAATGTTCAGTGTGTAAAACATTGATTTGGTCTAGGCCATATGTAAATTTGGAGAGATTTCAATGTTTGTGGAGTTATAAAGTTATTCCTTTTCAAATAAAGGCAGTAATGAAGTGCAATGCTGATACTTTCTCTTACAAGCAAGAAATAATTGAATAGTTCCTTGTCTTTGAGTGAAAAGATTTGAAGGCAATGTTCCATAGAACAAATATCAATTAAAATCTCTGCAGAAATGGCCATCATTATCACTAGAAGAGCCAAGAATGCCTTTGGTTAACTAACAGCACAGCATTTGAAGGTGTGATTAATTATTTTTATTGGCCTGGGGATGGTTTAAGGCTTCTGTTCTGACATAAGGAAATGCATTTTGGTTTTATTTGAGTATGAGACTTAACAAATCTTACAGTGTAAATAATTTACATCACATTTCACTATAAATTGTTAGCTTTTTAAGGGGAATGGATGACTTAAGAGGATACTTAAAAAGCAATTGCACAATTTTAATTGATTAGGAACCAAGCATTTTTTAATCTGAAAATCACTGGAAATAATTCAAAATGTATTATTTAGGTTACACACAGTCACTGCAATTTCCAAATTCCTATAAGATTAAATTGAGCCATGTTGTGTCCTTTGCAGTATTTCCCTTTTTCAGAATGCTAATCTACAACTGGGTGTCAACTAATGAAGTATGGTTTTACCTTGATTAACCTTGTACAATTTCTACTTCCTCGAGTTCTGTTTCGTGGAGAAATTGATTTAATTGATTTCTAGCCATTAAAGCCCTGCAGTTGGAAGTGTAATTATTTTTAAACTTGGCTGCTAAAATCATTTAGAAAATGCCAGAGTTTTTTAAAATGTATAGACTGACAAACAAAAAGAAGAAATGTAGGCTAGGAGAAGAGGAAAATACAAATAAAATTATTGGAATGGAAGAGTTGGATACTGTATATTGTTTATTAGGTTCTGGGTTTGCAGT